GTCGTGTTTGCACATTGTACCGTTCAGAATTCGTCTTTTTTTCTTATTTACTTCTGCAAGTGAAATAATACCAAATAGTTTTATCTTTTATTTTTTTTATTTGTCTAATGTTAGAGGTTAAATTGCTAGCTGCACTACATTTTTATTGAATCGATTTACTAATTTATTTTCGAGCTCGAGGTGCTCGAACCAAATAACTGCGGTTACGGCTTTATTTCAGCCTTTTTCAGAGTATGTTGTTACCTGTAATATCTCGTTCTGTATTACGTTGTCTGACAAATCTTGAACTTTTGCGACCGATAAGCGTCACGTCGAGTTTTCCCGGTCTACGAACACTTTCCACCCAAGCATCCCAGGAATCTCCAGCTCCCCGGGAGCCAATACGGTAGGTATCTACGTGTTTAGGTGTTTCCAGTCAAGTAAATGGATAGAACAAGAGTTTCATGAAAAGCTCCTGATGTTTAGAGCCTCGGAAACAGCAGAAGAAGTGGAGCAATCTACTGCCGATATTCCTTATGAAGAGCTATTGAAAGCATTGATGCCATCTGAGAAAGTATATACGACAATTTCATCCGAACATCATGAGAAACTCAAAGAAATCATCAAGGAACTGGAGGTCAATTCTTAAGTATTGAGGGTTTACTCTTCAGTTAAGCTTTATCGAGAGCGGAGGTGCTTGTTGTCAAACGGATTACTTTTATCTTTTCCGTAGATTCTCGGTAATTGGGTAAAACGAGGCTCTCAATCCTCCCCTTCTCCCTGTTATCGTGATTTTTCAAGCTTCTCAGGAGGACGTCGAATTTTGTTTGCCCAGGTGGCTTCATTAGTAATCGTTTAACTTGATGAACCTGTTGTTTAAAAGTTCGAATATCAAAGTGCTAAAACATAGTGAACTGAAAATCTCTATGGCCAACACGATTTTGGATTCCGCCCTAGTTAAACCCTTCAAACATCTAAGCTGAAACGTTTCGGCTTGAGCTAGATAAAAGAGTATTTTCAATTGTGCTCGAAACCTCGCTTTTTTTCAGGTCTTTGCGTACATGGGAAACATCGTTCCAAAAAGCTTGACAGATGATCATTGGTATAGGTAAGTAAACACGACTTCTATATGTTTTTGTCACTGTCTTGAACTACTTCTGTTCGTAGTCTTTTTTTTTGGACAGCTGCATTTTATCCCGACTTTTAGGATTTTGAACACTACTGATTCAGTGACTGACCGTGTCTCCTTTTGGGAGTACGTTGCTGTCAAGCAAAGACGTGAAGAAAAGGATAAAATGAGGAAGAATGTTAAATATGAGGAATTCTTGGCGAAATATGAAGAAGAGGTAATGGGGGATGGGGACGTGATTGTATTCATTATTTGCTTTATTAATTTAAACATTTCTTTCTCATTCCTTAGTGACATGTTTAGAAAGCAAAGTTTGAGCGAGGAGAAATGGGATATGGCCCGGACCTTTACCAGTTGGTTCATAATCCAATGCGGAATAAAAAGAGTAAGATTTTACATGCATCCGACTGATGCATAACCTTTTCTTAGCATGACTCTACGCATTTCTTTGTAGAGATACATTTGACTCAAGGAGCGAGGGTACTTTCGGCTTTGCGTTGCGGCGAAGTTCCCAAAGTTATCCTCGACCTGCAATACATGTTCAATGAGAAGCCACGTGTACAGTCTGAACTTGGCAATCAATTACAGTATGCCATAAGTGTGAGTACTTCAATCACTCATTTATTCATTCAACATTAATTTGCTTGCTTATTTGAATATTAAGTTGCCTGCTCTCCAAAGCTTGCTATGCTGCCCAGAAACAAAAAAAAAACTGTAGAAAGTCTCGCAAATTTGGCGATTTGTGGACAAAACTTCAGTCTCGGACTGGACTCGAACCCATACTTGTGCTTTCTGGGCACATCATAGCTCTGGTAGCTATGGTAATAATAATAATAGTAGCTATGGCGTATAAGACATCAGGAAGGCGAGGGCAAGCGGGGTCCCTGTATTGTAAGGGATAGTAGTACAGTGCCCGTTGAGCACAATTACTTGTTCGAACCCCGTTCAAGACTGAAGTTTTGTCCACAAATCGCCAACCTTGTAAGAATTTCTAAAGTTACTTCTCACATTGAAAATTCTTCTTTCAGGAAAATTTGGATTCAAGAACACCTTTAGATATAACCTTCGCAAACTTTCCGGAGACTGAAGTGGCCCAGCAGTGGTTGACCAAGTATGTCAGTCATTCTTTTCAAAAGACAATGTTTTCGATTTTCTAGACCGCGTTCATAATTATGCTTAATCGACTTTTTCAATTCAACTTAATTTGCTTAGCTTGATTTATTTAGATGTGTAGGTTTCTATGGAGGACGGTATACTCATCAAACTGTTTTACCTGATTTCACGAGCAAAGGTGTAAAAGAGGTATTCCCTGGTGAAAACGTCGTCTATATATCAAAGTTAGTCCAACGAATCAGAAAGTTTTCATTTTTTAATTCAATATAAGCCTAATTCATCTTATTTTAGGCATGCAAGAGACACAATTGATGGCCCATTGAATGCCGGTGCAATTGCATTGTGTGTGTCAATGGATACAGCTAGAGAAGCTCTTGGAGCAGCTCGTCGTGGACGGATGAGGGCTGTGCGTCTACCTATAAAGAAATACATAAAGTAGGTCCAGCAGCCGTTGTTTAACAACTGACTGTTTATTTTTATCATTAGAACATGGTTTATAATTAGATCGATCGATTATTTCATGTTTTTTAAGGATCATTACCAATGAAGTTGTCAGTGAGCTTCGTTTGACCATTTGAAAAGGCAAAGCCGCTTTCCAGGTGGCAGAAGGGACCGATGTACTTACCATTCCCCAATATACTGAGGATCTTTCGTGAAGTTCACCTGAACGGTGGTGATTGGGAAACCGCATTACTCAACAATATCAGCAAGTGAGTTTCTATTTTTTTGTGC